GTCTCCTTCCATATCTCCTTCAAGCTTGAAAAAGAAGATTCCCACAAAACACCTGGGTTCATTTGCGTCAAAGTATATAAGGTATCAGCACTTGAGCTGCCCATAGCAGCCTTGCATCTGTCCAGCACAAAGATGCCAGTGATCTCCTAATTGTTACTGTACTGTTTCAGCTCTATTGGAGTACAAACTCTGATATCAGCGAGCTTTCAGTAAACCTGATGGCCCTACAGAGACTTATGACGAGTCACAGATCACAATCCTAAAGCAGACACACACACACACACACAAAAACCACTCTTGCAAATCATCTTGAATACAATTTGCTGTATCCATTGTCATGCCTGTTGAGAGCCACATGACTCTCCTGCAAGTAGATTTTAACTTATAGCGGGAATTAACACTGGAGTTAACAGGTCTCCTCAATGCCCAAGACTTTAGTCACTGACAAATCTCAGGCGACAGAGGTTGGAACCACTTCATTTCTTGCAAACTAGTTCAGCACTGTTACACTCTGAGTGTATTGCCTATTAAGTCAAAGCATGGAAAACCTGGAATTATCCTAGAAACATCTGTCCTGGGAAAAGTAAAGGTTGCCATGGAATTAAGGGGGTTGATTTCTGATCTTTTCAAGAAAGGATGCAGAAAGCACAACCCTGAATAGGAGGGAAAAAAAAAAAAAAAAATTAAACAAGGAGAATCTTATTCACAAAATAACAGACTCAAAAAATACCATAGACTTTTCTCCTAGTGCAGGAGGAGGCTCAGACTGCAACTTCTAAAGGCAGCACTGACCTCGCAGAGAACAGCCCCACAGAGAGAAGATTAAATTTCCATGGACTGCCATGTAAGGAGAGCTGTGAAAATGCCAAGTGCTTCTAATGATGCCCCTTTTAGGCAAGATATTTACCACTGACAAAAGTAAAGATGGTCATACGGAGACCACGTCTCCCACCCATGGAACCCACTGTCATGGAACTGGCCCAGCAAGATAAAAGGACCATGTTTATCCAAGAGCTCTTCAGTTCTCAACTGCTGCATAGGCTACAGGAAGGAGAAAGATCTCCTAGGGAAGGTTCTGTATCTGAACAGCATAGTCTCTGCACAGTAGGGACCAAGTGTTCCTTTTGAGTCATTAACTCAGCTATTTTGCACAGTAATAAAGCCTAGATAAGGAAACAGCCAAGAACAACAGATTGCCAGAGAGGGGTGGGGTAGAGCAGAGATCCCCGCTTCAGCTCCTGACAAAGCTGTTCATTTTTATTCCCTACCACAAGATAGCAGCCGTGGTGACACAGGTTATCAATGACCAGAGGCAATCCAGTGCCACTGGAAACAAATCCAGGGAACGAAGCCGTGATGTGTTTCTGGCCAAAGCCTTCAAAGCAAAAAGCTGAGGACTGGAGGAGGTCTCTTGGGGCCCCAACTTTGCTAACACAGCCGTCCTGACCATGTGCTGGCTCACAGCGATAACATTGTGTGCCGAGGTTGGCATGCAGTCCAGGTGAAATCACAAGCAGAAAAGCTTCCCAACCCTGTGTGGCCTCAGCAGTCACGTTCACAGCTCCTCACCCGCCTACCACTCCTCATCAGGCTCCACCCAGCACCCTCCTGCACCCACAGGGACACTTTGCCCTTCCGGGCTTTCTTCCACAAAGTTGGGTAGTAGCCATTGTATTTTTTTAGGAAATACTGCTACATCCAGTACCTACTGCCTGCACACAAAGGCCTGAGCCTCTGCTGGCACACGTTCTTGCCCTGAGCTTCATCTATGGCACCGCTCATCTTCCCAGCATTTTCCTCACAAATTTCTAACAGCTGTGTGTTACCCCCAACAATTTATCCACATGCACAGCTTTGCTCCAGTTTAACACTGCGGGGAAGAAAATAAGAAACAAAGCAAAACTCTGATATCACAGGAATATCAACAGGGATCCAACCACATGACATTCAACAAAGCTAAATGCCAGGTACTTCACTTGCACATAACAACTCAGTGCAGCAGTTTAGGCTTGGGGAGGAGTGGCTAGAAAGTTGCTCAGCAGAAAAGGACCTGGGGATACTGATTGGTGGCCAGCTGAACATAGGCCCACAGTGCACCCAGGTGACCAAGAAGGCCAATGGCATCCTGGCTTACATCAGAAATAACATGCCCTGCAGGACCAAGAAAGTGATTTTCTACCTACTCAGCACTGGTAAGACCACAGCTAGAGTGCTGCATTCAGCTTGGATTCCTCACTGCAAGAATATTGAGTTACTAGAAAGCATTCAGAGAAGAGCAGTGAAGCTGATGGAGGGACTGAAAACAGAACTGGGATTTAGTCTGGAGAAAAGGAGACTGAGGAGACAACTCATCACTCTCTTGAAAGGAGGCTGTCAGTCTATTTCCTCAAGTGAGAAAATATATGCCATCTCTGCACGTATTTAAGGGATGTGTGGATGAGACACTTAAGGATGTGGTTTCATGATGGACTTGAAGAGTGAGGTTAGACTTCATCTTAAAGACCTTTTCCAGCCTAGATGATTCTATGGTTTTTACACAACCAAACAAAAATGTCCATTGGTGAGAGGAAAAAAAAAACACGTTAGGTGAGAGGAACGCATTTAGCCCTTGCACCCTTCTCCCAGCAAAGGTGGGGGTCTCCCAATGAGGCCTCTGTCTTCTCCCATCCTGTACAACAGAGTCAAACCCTTGAGAGTAGCATAGATAGTGGAATGGGATTCTGGAGATGAGAGGCTGGTGACAGGTTGAAAGTGATGGAAGCTGCTCTTGGAAACAGTGGTACTTACTTCCACCATCATCAGTGGTGGAGGTAGCTGCCAATCCCAGAGAACGACTGGGGTAGATGCTTACATGGGAAACAGGAACAGAGTGGGGTCAAGGAGAGCTACTTACTGGAGCAATAAGATTTGAAGATTAGAGAGCAAGAGTGATATGGCTTGGTTGTTTGCAGGTTGTTTGTACAGAGCAAGGTGAAAAAGAGTAACAGCTTGGATTGAGAGGGGATGCCTCCGTCACTTGCTCTGAGGCAACTCTCAACCACTTGCCTGCCAACAAGGGAGACAAACTCAGACACCAATTGCAGAAAGAACTACTATGATCATCAAGACTCACGCCTTAGAAAACCTGGGCCAGAAATTTTGGCAGAAATCCTTTCCATCTCCACAAGCGTCTACTTTCTGACAAGAATCCAAACAAATTAAAAGCCCCCTGTGAAGAATCCTTCACAATCCTCAGCAAGCTTTTCCAGTGATTAATTGCATGCAATGTTAAAAAATTAGTCCTCTTTTGATGCTTTAAAAAAAAAAGTTTCAAATTGAATCAGTCATTAATTCTTTTTTCACTTCAGTCTGATAGAACAAGAAGTTTGTTCCACATATAGGTATATATATACACACACTACAAAAGCTAGCCTTCAGCTTTATTTTCCCTTCAGTTCTTTGACCTCTTTCACTGGAAGGCACATTTCCAACTCTAACAACTCAGGCATATTCCCTGAAACCTCTCCCATCCAGGAACCACCAACAAAAGCACTAAATAGAGTACATGGGAAGTGACAATGTTAGTACTCAATGACACGCACACCCACTCTCTCCTAGAGCTATTCATCCTGAAGTTATTTACCAAAAGTTGCATGCGTTTCCCCAGCTACAGCACCATCCTGGAATTCTGTTGTCAGCCAGTGAGCCACTCCAGTTCCCATCATTCCTTGTCACTGCTGCCCAAGACAAACTCACTAACTGGTAAGCATAGCCTGTGCTCCTTATCCTTTGACATGTGACTTGCAACAACTAATGTTATGCTTGGATGCATCTTTCCGAGTGATCCAGGCTATTGCAACGTCTTTTTTTTTTTTACTGCCTTACTGATTTTTCACTCCTCACTACCATTCAATGACTATTTCACTATCTTTCAGGTGATTGATCATAGAGTTCAATAATATACAGCAACAAGAGACCAACTTTGAAACACTTATTTCCCCTTACAATTGCACAACCCCATCCATCTGGGAAGTGACACATTTCCTGTAAAGTTCTAATGCTGGCATTGCAAGAACCGCCACCACCACAAATTTCTAGAAGCAATATGCCAGCACTACCTATTCCTAATTCAGTCTATCTTGTTTAATTTGATGTTTTAAAGTAAAAGTTACCATCTAATCCATGTTTCCATAAGCGGACCTCTACTTAAATAGCAGCTTTCCCTCTCTGGCTGAGATAAAAGCAAATGATTTATGATGCTTGAACTGCTGCTGGGATCTTGTCTGTCAGAGGCATAAAATTTCTCACCAGAACACAGGAGCATGAATAACTTGTTCTCAAAGTGTCTGCAGCACTAGTCCTTCATCTGGCAAAGCTTATGCACATTATTAACTTCACTGCATCACAGGAGCTGGTGACAGTGTACAGTAAAATACATGTTTTCACTTCTTAAAGGAACTGGGGCCCAGGAGGATGCCAAAGGGAAGTCGAAACAGGAGGTTAGACAGTTGGAAACTTTCCTTTACACTGTTATACAGAACTCACATCTTTTCAGTTGCTGAGTAAATAAACAGCTGACTGCATTCCCACTGCCTGATTGCTTCAGGTGCATTACACAAATTACAAATAAGTAAAAACACAGATTCCCTTACTCCCAAGAGATTTTTGAAGATCAGCTACTAACCCCTAACTGTATCTGTGTTTGTTGGGTAATGAATGAGGTGAGGCAACACCCTTGACTGATGAGATCCATGAGGAAAAAGGTGAGTTGTGCCTTCCTGTGAAGAAGAGCTCATGGATCTGACATCACACCGTGCAGCTCTTCCATCCGCAATGGAGTCTCAGTAGCCTGTGTCTGTAGGAGTGTCTGTTCTTTCCCATTTTATAGTGGATCACTGTATAAGGAGGAATGAAATCCAGTGTCTTTGTTCATTGTAAGCAAAAGGCCCAAGTGACACAAAACCTTCCTGGAAGGATGCTTTACCCAATTGTCTGAGCTGGCTGATCCAAGAACAACTTACCTCCTAAAAGATAATGTTTTAGTTGAGAGTAACACTTTGGTTTCCCATGTCATCCAGGCAGTTTGTCCATTTCTGTGTCAGGCCACATGCCAGAGGGGAGGCTAGAACACTGCAGGCTGCTCAAGTGTTTCTGCTTGGGAAGACAGGTGTGGTTAGAAGGTAAAACAATAGCCATTGGTGTCAGGAAACACCAAACCCTGCAGCATGTTCTTAGATATTAAATCTTGAGTGACGTTCACTTTAGTTTTGTGATTAGGACTAGGAAATACAGAGCAACACAAGCTTCAGCAATGAAATACAAGTGCTTCCAAGCATCAATATCCTGCACACTATGCACTGCAAGGTAAAGTTGTGGCCTATGGCAACAGGCCCATGAATATTTCTAATTAAAGAGCTTATATACCAAGAACAGTTTCAGAGACCCAAGCTGCAGTATCACTGCATTCAAACTAGCAAGAAGACTGAGGATAAACAGCATTCATGGCTACCAAATGCAACACTTACTCTATAATCCACATAGCAAAATATCAAGTACATTCTTTTGGTCATTCCCTCACATTACTTTTAGAAGCATAGACTTCACAGAATCACAGAATTGTTTGAGATGGAAAGGACCCTTGAAGGCCACCCATTCCAACTCCCCAATAAACAGGGGCACCTACAGCTCCATCATGTACTCAAAGCTCTGTCCAGACTGACCTTGTCTCCAGGAATGAGTGGGGCATTCACTACCTCTATGGTCAACCTCTGCCAGCGCCTCACCACCCTCATTGTAAAAAACTTCTTATACCCAATCTAAAACTCCCCTGTTTCAGTTTGAAATCATTTCCCCTCGTCTTATCACAACAGACCCTGCTGAACAGTATATCCCCTTCGTTCTTAGATCCCTCATTTTAGATACAGAAAGGCCACTCTCAGGTCTCCCCAGAGCCTTCTCCTCTCCAGGCTGAACAGCCATAGCTCTCTCAGCCTGTCCTCATAGCAGGGGTGTTCCATCTCTTGGATTATTTTTGTGGCACTCCTCTGGACACACTCCAACAGGTCTACGTCTCTCCTGTACTGAGGACTCCACATCTGGACACAGTACTCCAAGGGAGGCCTCACCAGCTGAGAGAAGAGGGGCAGGATCACATCTTTGGGGTCCCATAATTTCATGTATTTGCCCCCATAGAAGCCTCTAGAATAGTTAGCTAAAAAAAAAACCAATAACATGGCATATATGGCATGTATTCCATACCTTGGACATTTTTCCCCATGTAAAATACACTGTTAATTCTTCTTCCATACCTTCCTAATTATTTTTCTCCCTATTTCCATCTTTCTCTTTTTATATTTTGACTCCTGAGCCTGTCTCCCTCTGCATCAGCTTGACCAAGCCTTTCATTTCTTCTTCTTTAATCCATGTTTCTTTCTTCAATATCCATCTTCTCAGAGCCTTGGGGACCCTTATTCCCCCTAACTGATGGGCTTCATCCCCTCACAAAGCGTACTCCAGTAGTATTTGGACTGTATGGAAAAACAAGCATCTCGTAGTTACTGTTAGATCCTTTATGATTCGTACAGGAAGAGCCTGTTTATAGCCTCGAGCCTGCAAGGGCTTCTGGAATTTGAAAATCCTTTCTTCTTCCATTTTCAGGGCAAACAGCTGAAGAGACTAGGAATCTTGCCTCCCCTCACAGATATCTTTGCCTTCCAGACAGCAATCTTACCTTTAGATCCCCCAGTTCAGCAAATGAGCTATCATATATCCCAGTGTTCGCCCAGCCTATGCAATCTGATAGGCCACCTATACTGAAGAGGGTGATTAACATCTAAGAATGGATGGGAGGTGACCTTCCACACAGCCATGATATATTTTTGGAAGAGCAAGGCAAAGTCAGAAGGGCTTAGTAAACTCTTTGATCATTTAAGTTTCTGGTTACCAGATAACCACCACTATCCCTCCCATAAATCCATTTATCCTTAAGAACGTGAATCCTCATCCCCATTTCTGCAGCATTAGCACCTACTGCTAAGTTACATCTTTCACTCAGCTGCACCATCATCCCTCAGCAGTTCCAGAAACTCATTGCCCAAGTGCTCTGCTTTCTGTGTTTGATGACATGGCCGCGTGCTTTGCTTGCTGCACACACTGCATACCTTCTGCAGCATCCCAATCACATGACATGTGCAGGCACTAGGCCACAACCAGAAAACCGCCGCTCCTAAAATCCCTTAAAAATCCACTTATTTCATGCATTTTTCACGGCTCCTCTCATTCTCCTGTCTGGTTTTACATTCAGATCCACTGCTAACTAGCCTCATTTATAACAAAGCACAGCAGGAGCTAGAGAAATCGCTAAGTCTGGTGGCATTATAACATCAGGAGTACTTCCCCACTCCCATTATCTCTACTTCCCGCATTCTATTTGCTCTATTCCCTTTTCCTTCTCCTCCTTTTATTTTTTCTGGCATGAAACAGTTACACTGGGACCATTGCAAATGAGAGCCAGTTTCTGCTGAGTAAAGCAACAGCTCAGCTAGTGATTTGTATCTCCTCACTGCCACAGGTTGGCCAGAGCAGAGGCACCTGGTGTTGTGTGCTGCACAGCAACTCCAGGAGATAACAGCACCTTGAAGAGAAGACACATAGGCTGCCTGTGGGAAGACAGTGACATGGCTTCTGCAGGACACAGACATCTTGCATTTAGTTCTAGCATGGACATCCCTTTGAAAGCAGGACACCACCTTGCTGTCATTCTTGGTCTAAGACAACAAAGGATGTTTCTGGCAAGAAGCACTCCAGAGAGAAAGTAAAAAGAGCCATGTGGGTGGTGGCATCATCCAACAGTCCAGCAATTAATATATTTTGCAAGATGAGGGGTGTGTGGAAAGAAAAAGAACAAATGAAGCTTAATGTTTTTTTCCCTGTGATCTCAAATTTCTCAGGTAAACTGCTCCACCCTTCAAGGCTGGAGGACTTCCTAAGATGAAATCCACCCAAATCTGACAAGGAAGCTCCTTAAAACTTTCAGAGAATAATTAACCAAGCAGCTAGATGAAGTGCAAACATCAGTCTTGGCCTTATGTGAGCAGGTTACTAGAGCGATATGAAGAAAGCGCAGTCCCACTATTTATTACCATAGCAGCTTCGCCTAGCATTAAGTACATTTCCTTCCATGTGCTATTCTGATTCAGTGAGCAGATATCAATGTCATAGCTACCTCCATCTCATAGAACAGCACATTTCAGAGGTGAAGGGGCTAGATGCTCTATCCACCTATCCTCATCCACCAGGAAAAGAAGGAAATTAAATGTACCTCCTGTGTTTTAGACACTGGCCACAACACAATAAGTCCTGCACTGTGCACCAGTTGACCTGAAAACCTGTATTCTAGCAGACTGAAATAAGCCTTGAACATTGGGTTCTTCAGGCTGTTAGAGACGTCAGGCACAATACTGGTGAGGTGGTTTCAGTAGTTTACTACTGGTCTCAAGAGCTAACAGGGTGCCAAATGGCCCACTGATACACAAATGCCTAACTCCTAGATGGGTAGCTAACAGTATTCATTTCAAGGGGAATTGTATGCTTATTATCTCCAATATATTGTGCTCATGATCCTGCCTTGTTATAAACAGCATTAAAGAAAAAACATTGAAGCGCAGGAAAAGAAATTCTGAAGCCTTGGAAAAAGGCATATTAGTGAGTGAATAGATACAGAAAGAGTCATCAGTGAGCAGTAAAACACTGCTCTGGAAGATGGTATGAGGAGATAGCACCAGCCACAAAACATGGACATAGAGTCCACATGGAGAGGATGAAACCTGACAGAGGAGCCACAGAAGGAACACGAAGCTGAAGAGTGAGCAGGGTAAGGCAGCAGAACTCAGGGGTAGTGCAGGAATGTGTGGCAGGAGGCTGGGGACTGCAAGTAGCACAGCAGTAACTGAGGAAAATGGAGCATTTCACTTTGAGGATGTAGGCAAAAAGTCAGGCATTTAAGAAAGAACTGCGAGATTTGACAGATCCACGTGCAAAACAGAGCTTGGATAGAGTAAAATGTGGTAATCTGGATGCCATTCTCAGGGAGAACAGCAGAAATACTGGAGGTAATGAAGAGAAGCGGCCTTGGGAAAAGACCCCGCTTTTCCACATATCAAGTTCTACATGTTGGTCGGGAATGATGGAAGACTGAAGAAGCGGAAAGACGCCAGAACAAAGAGATAGAAGTACAAGATGTGGGACAGAAACAGCAGAAAAAACAGAGGGGGAGAACGGTTAAAAAAAAAAAAAAAAAAAAAAAAAAAAAAAGGAAGAAAGAAAGAAAAAAAAAAGAAACAGGAAGGATCAAAAGATAGAGACTTCTAGAGATGGCTGGGGCAACACTAGATATTCCTGTGAGAACAGCCTTGGGATTATAGTACTGAGTAGACTTCAGGGTATCCAAGCAAGTAGTGGAGCAGAAGAACTTGCCAAAGATGATGTGAGTAGAGAGAATGCAGAAAGTTTGTTCCATCCTGCAGAGATTGCAGCACGTGAAAATGATTGCAGGGATAACTGCAGGACTAGTGCCATAGAAAAGATGCACAACTGTAAAAGTCAGTAGATAACAACATGGAGTAGAGCCATAGTCCCAAGACTATGAGACCCAAAACTATCCCAAGAAAAGAATATACGCAAGATTATTCTCTTAATAAGGACAGAAGGCTAAAGAAATAAGTCAAACTGAAATTTTTCATTGAAACGTCTGTTCATAATGACGATCCCTACTCTAAAGGAGAAGCCCCTTATTTCAACTTTCAGTGTTTAAAATAGCTGGGCCAGCAAAAATGTAATTGCATCTTCAACCACCAAGACATAGAGATCTTCATCTCCAAGTTCTTTGACAAAAAGTCTTCAGCACAATTTCATTTTATTTTCGGAAGTTTTTCTTCAGCAAGGAATTTTAACTTCATGACTTTTGTCTCCAATTCGGGAACAAAAGCAATAAGTCTAGGATTATTTTTTTAAAACATTTTAAACATACACATTTCCCACTCCAAAGGAAAGAGCCTCTTTCCAGCCAGTTCCACTACAACTTTCATTGCTTTCCTCTAGTGATGAGGAGCTGTACATCAGTCTGACATCACTTACAGGTTCCAGAATGATGTATCTGCTCAGTAGTAGCTGAGTTTTTATATTCAGGGTTCCCTAGTTCAAACCTGAAAGGAGGACAGTCTCAGGAGTATCACTGCGAGCTGCTTGTTTGTAATAACAATACATGTTCTTTTAATTGCCGTGGGCCTACAGGTAGAAGTTAAATATTCAGAAACGATACCCACTTCTAGTGATAACTCAGATTAGTACATACCCCAACATACCCCAGCAGAGAGAAATAAGAGACTTGTGAAATAAGGAGAACACAAAAAAACCTGTGCAGTCATTTCCACCGCCACGGTGCTCATAACCCTAAGTACTAATACCCTGCAAGCACATCAGACAGCTTACATTTCCAACTCCAACAGGTTCTGAAAAGCAATAGTTACTCCAAATTCAGCAAACCCCTGTTCTAACACAACATTCCTATGCTGCCATGCCTATCATACCAGTAGATCAGCACCTCTGGTGTTCGATACATCTTGGAAGTTATTCTGCCTCAGACTTGTTTCAGGTTAGAGCCCTTGCTTTATTACCGTGGTCTGGATTGGAGTCCCACACCAGTTGCCGGCTGCCAGCGATTCAGGCTCTCATGCTCTGCAGCGCTTTCTGCAGAGCTGCTCAGGAGATTACACCAGCGATGGCATTTTATCAGTGCTGCTACGAGGTGAGTGCAGACATGATAAAGAAGTGTTAAAAGTCAACGAGGTGCCATTGACAAGGATTGAAGCTGTACTCGCGCTTCCCCACCGACCACGTGTGCGCTGATGTTGTGCAGCCCAGTCGCCTTCTTACCAAGGGCTGCTTTGGCAGGCTGCACATATTGCCCTCCCTTTTTGGTACACAGCTGAGAGTCAAGACAGCCAGCTCATCTCCTCTGGAAGCATCAGGCCTGTATGGAACAAATTCAATCTTATGAAACCCACAGAGGTTCCCTGGGTGAGCATTAAAGAGATTTTTTTATCATTCAGATATTCTGATAGCAGGTTAGCCCAGTTGCTTTAATTCCTTCCCACCACTCCCTCCCAGAACAGAGGACTCCCTTTGAGAGATACACTCCCCCAGAAGATTGCTTTCCCAGGCAAACATCCCTCTACCTGGAGCTGAGCAAAGCCTCCAGCAGAACGCCTGGCATTCAACCACAGAGACTAACCCCAGGAACAAGGGAGCTCCAGGGCTTAGTAATCCTTCCCTGAACAATGGCTTGATTAGTACCTGAGAGTGTCTCCTTTGGGTTTTGAGGGGCAGATGAACAGGCTCATAAGAAACTCATTCCTGCTGTGCAACTGTTGGCACAACCCCCAAGCTGGAAATCATGTAAGCAGCCGGCAAGCCTGAATATTAACCATGCAACAGAGCAATACACAACATCACAGTCAAAGCACCTGGTCCATCCTTGTCATGGTACCGGTAACTCTGCAGAGCAATAGCAGAGGCAGCTTAAGTGGGCACAGAGTGGTCACAGTATTTCAAAACAGCTTGAAACTCAACAGGCTCTTTCACAAACCTCTGTAATAAGGATTCACCCACATATTAAGGGCATCTCCACCAGAACTGCCACAGCTAACATCCAACTGCCCAAGCAACACAGCTCTAGGGAAGCAGCAAACTTGCAGACTGCACTACAAACAAGCTCTAGCAGACAGCAAGCACCAACCACCACTATAATGAGCTAAAGAACTCCATTATATTCCTGTGGGACAGGTGTGGTTGCAACAACCATCCCCTTTCTCAGCTGATACCAATGCAATCCTTACCAGCAGCCTCTGTGTAGAGGCCCAGACTGAAAGAAATCCTCAGCTCACCTCCAGAGGTTCTGCCTTGTGCAAGGCTGGGGCATGCTGAGCAATTACTAGAGAGGAAGACTGGCCATGCTGTGGTTGTTGCTCTGCTTATATTTGCTTGGGTCGAGGGAAGAGATCGTGACAGCGTCTGTAACACATATCGCTATGTCACAGACTATCTGCACTAAAGAAAAAAGAATTTATTGAGCACAGTTTCCTTCTCCACTGGCAGCGCAAGGTGGTGGCAGTGCATAGCGGCCTGCCTTCTCCCTGCTCACACCTCCCTGCCATCTTATGCCTGGCAGCCATTTTCATCTTTGCAGGTAGGGCATGGCTTGTGCAGGCAGGGCAGTGTGTGCTGGGAGACTGCCTGCTGTGGAGATGTAGAGAGGATGCTGACCTGCACAGGCATAGATTCATAGAATCATAGAATCATAGAATCACAGAATCACAGAACCATTTGGGTTGGAAGGGACCTCAAAGCCTATGCACTTCCAAGTCCCTGCTGTGGGCAGGGCTACCCCCCACCAGCTCAGGCTGCCCAGGGCCCAACCAACCTGGCCTTGAATGTCTCCAGGAATGGGGATAACTGTGCTCCCTGTCAAATGCGTCCCACACCAGGTGTTTGGGCCCTGGCAGCAGCCTGACAATTCTGGTCCCAAAGAGCCAGGCTTTGCACCCTTGCTCTGGATCAAGGCTTCCAGCAGGCACCCTCAGCTCCCTCCTTTGTCTTTGCTTCTGGCCTTCAAGTGTTTTAGTCTGGGACCAAGCAAGCCCTTGAAAGCACATGGTTTTGCAGAAATCCCACGCCTTCCTGGTTTTGTCTGCAGCAGTAGCATCTAAAGTAGGGTTGCTCGCAGCATGTATGCTCCCAGCCCTGGGCAAGACCTGCAAGTCTGCCTGCCTGGTGGGTTTCCCCCAGCATTTTCACAAGGTCTCCCTACCTTCTTTGAGCTTCAGGGAGTTCAGTTTGGGGTGAAGGATAGGTCAGCTCTTATCTCGGATCTGCATGCACAACTGTAACCCTTACCAGTTCCCTTTCCAGCTCCAAGAGTTCCTGCCTGGCGGCACAGCAAGGACCAAGCTTTCCCTCTTTGCTGGCCTTTCAGCCAGAATCAAGCAGAGCCAAAGAGCCACAACAAGTTCTGAGAGACTCCCCAGGTTTAAGGAAAATCTCGGGGGCATCTTGACCTTCCTCTTAGGCAGTCTTTGATGCAGGGCTTGTGGCAAGCAGAAAGCACAGCCACTGGCTCCTGTTCTAGGCCAGCCAGAGCAGCCTGGGGGTGACACTGGGCTGTGACAGGAACTGAATAAAGCCCTCAACTGGCCTGCAGGCCCTGTGAGATTGAGAGATTATATAAATCCACCCTGAACTCCTTTTCCTTCTGCGAAACGCTTGTAGTGCAACCGACATGGATTCAAGAGCTTGAGCTACAGTTTGTTTTAGCAAATACTGTCGTTGTCAGTTTTCCAAATGTCTGTTCACACACAGACTGTCCCAGCACCCTGCCAGAGCTCCAAACATTCATCTGTGAAAAAAATTTCTAGGAAATTGCCTGCATTCATGCCTGTCCTTGTGACCATTTAAAGACCAATCACACAAATATGAGCCCACGTGGATATATAGGTGTCAAAGGTGTAGCTCTCCAAAGCCTTGTAGACGTACATGACCTCAGGAATCCTACTCAGACCACTGCTACCTTCTTCTTACCACAGGACATCACGCTCAGCAAAAGGTCCAGACCAACAACTGCTGCCTCCACCCCCCACTCATTGCTACCACAGGACAAAGATGCCAGAACTGAGTGGGGGTGGATGGGAAGGGAATAGCACAGCAGGCAGAGACAGTTGGTCCCATGTGTTTTCTTTCTTTAAAGATAAAAACTTACACCGGTCAAATGAAAAATCAGGAACAATGCAGGAATTTTAAAGAGGCCCAAGCTGCCACCTGACTCAGCGTCTAGGCAGGATATTGATTAGCAAGGCTATTCTTTATTCCTCTGCTATTGTTTAAGACTGGCCTCGCTCATGACAGCAACAGGCGTGGGAACACAGCAGCTATGGTGTTAAAAAGTGCTTTTATCACTGCGCTGAGTAGAGAGGTCTCTGGGAACCAGAGATGGTGTGTTTGATAGCAAAGGAAAGGCATTCGAACCGAGAGCCTTATTCTGAGATCACAGAATCGTAGAATGGCCTGGGTTGAAAAGGACCACAATGACCATCTAGTTTCAACCCCCCTGCTATGTGCAGGGTCACCAACCACCAGACCAGGCTGCCCAGAGCCACATCCAGCCTGGCCTTGAATGCACGAATGAGATCTATAAGGCCGATCAAACATTTCTTCTCAGTGATATTCAGGCTTCAGTGAGTTTGGAGAGATGCAGAAAGAAAACATTCCAGTCTGCTAAAAATCCTTGGGTTTCTCCTTGAGCCCCAGTAGCTGCTGTGATGGCAGATCCTGTATACATACTCACCCAAGTTTTAACAAGCCATTGAGTTCTGTATGCGGTGTGGCACAGCACAGAGAAGAGGGTCACCACCTATATCTTCACCATGCTTGAGCAGGTTTTGCAAGCCAGGTTGGGCTCCAGCCTGCAACGGCCATCACAGGAAATCAGCAGAACCAAATGTATGGTAGCATATATCATTTCCATTTAAACTAGCCATGTGCTGGCAACCCATCACCCTGAAAAACACAGGTCTCTACTAAGTGAACCGATGGACAATTATACAGTTTCCTGATAGCTCCAGGCAGGAATCATGCAAAATTTTTGTCTCTCTGGGAATTCTACATGCACTAAAAAGCAACACACTTCAGTACTTAAACACATTTGATTTGATTGAGTAGGAGGCAAACAGTGACCATTAAGCAGATTTTCAGCTAAAATATTTCTGGTTCCCCTTGGGGCTGTAAAGCAGGCTGCTGATTTTATATTCTCTGTAGGTTTGTTCTTCGTTTGCAACACAAAGTGTCTCAGATGTGACCACATTATATATATATAAATAGGAGTCTTGTTTTCATCTATGCTTAAGACAAAATAAAAAATGAAACTCCTTCAGGCACTGATAGAACAAACATCCTCATTGGATTCACTCCAAAGACACTCAAAATGAAAGCACACAGTGCACTGCAGAGTGGACCTTCTGACATAGGACATGCTCTCTGTAGACACTAAACACGTATGCCAGCTTCTAGAAACACTCTACAACACTACCTCATGTGTCTGTGTAAGCATGCACAATTTGGTTATAGTGTGAGTATACCAACTTTCTTTGCAGGCTCTCGTGCTTCAGTTTCATTCTTTCCAATCATTTTTAACCTTTCCAAAGTTTAAAGGCAGATGAGACTCAGGCAAGATACTCGCCTTCAGTCTGTAACAAATGGACAACTAAGCTAGACATTTAGAACATAGCCCACCTTCCACAAGAACCACATTAGCAGAAATGTTGCTTTTCATCGATGAACACCCTCTGCTGTTATCTCAGAACTATTTATACTGTTCTTTATTATATTGGTTGTTTATCCTACCTCCATGCCAGCTTGTACTCAGCACAGAGCAAGCCATGTGCCAGACGGGGAAGCTGAAGCCTGGAGGCTGGCTCACTCTGCCCACACAGCGCCACAGACACTGCAGACTGGAGCCACTCAGCTGAAAACAAACTCTGCTCCAGCACTAACCCACACTCAATCCACAGATCAGCAGAGCAGCTACTGCATCAGGTCGTAAGCTTAGCAAAGATGTCTGTCATGTCCTCATCCACATACTCTGGTAGTTGTGAGTTAAACAATCCGTCTTCTTACCCATTATTCCACAGTCCAAAAAGCAATCCAATAAATGCAGCAGGTTGCAATTTAAGAAACAGCTTCTCTCTCCTTGAGCTCAGTAGTATGATCGTATTTCCAACCTTCCTTCCATTCTAAACCTAGCTTGACCTCAATGTAGGTGTGTCTGTGACTCACAAGCCAACAGGACCAAGGCACAGGCTCCAATATGATCATGATCATGATGATCCAATATGGTCATCAGTGCTGTTTAACTATCCGCACACTCTGTGGCACTTTTTCTCCAGGCCAATGATGCTCTCCCAGGATGGATCAGGTGCTAGCATCACTAATAGCAGCTCCCAGAAGGCAGTGTGGACAAAAGCAATTTGGGGTCTGAGGAGGGGTGGAAAGACATACACTGTTCTGTGTCATTTGCCCTCAGAGCCAATGAGCGAAACAGCCTCTCATCAATATTAAGATATTGCTTTTTCATCCCATATTGGTCAAACCCAACAATCTCTTGCTGCAGTGAAAAGCCTCACGTTTGGACAGTTGTGGCTCTCTTATCAAGCAGCTGGTCACAAGAATGTTTCCTTTAGCTTTTCCACTAAGGGTTAAGTTTATTCAGGAGCCTCGAGTACTAAGAGATGGATGTGCTTCCTCTGCTAATGCAGAGGCTTGTTTTCCTCCTGTGAGTTTCACCTCATACCATGCTGCTTTGTCTCCCGATCATTTCAGCTTATTCACAGAATCACAGAATGGCTTAGGTTGGAGGGGACTTTAAAGATCATCTATTTCCATCACACAAATCCAGGCTACCACTCCCCCAGGACCTGGGACATGGTATCTCACAGTGCAGAAGAGATGGCTCTGCAGAACTGACCTGAAAAATCCCTCAACACTTTACATGAAAAACACCAGTCTGTGAACCACTCCAGCAAACATTCCTTAACTTGAACCAGAGCCCAGAGGTAAGGATAGTCTATGAAAAACTCGGGGACAAAGTACAGGAGTTCCAACCATAGCATAATCTTTCAGATGAACTGTCTCACAGCTCTGTTGCACTTGGAAACAAAATGTGAGTTCCCATCTAGGTCA